GGACTTATAGAATACCATTAAGTGAACTAATACACACATTGTGAAATTTACAAAAGGAAAACAGAGAAAGGGGCAGAAACCATATTCAAATAAATAATGGCAAAATATTGTCAAATCTTGCCTGTCTAGAAAAGAAAACAGACATCCGAATGCAGAAATTTCAAAGGACAATGAACAAGATGAATCCAAAGAAATTCATGGTTAGATACATTATAGTCAAATTGTTGAAAGTCAAAGACAAAGAGAGAATTTTAAACCTTGGACGAGAAAAGCGACATGTTTCATACAAGGAATTGTTATTAAGACTATCTGATTTTTTTAACAGAACTATTGCAGATCGCAGTGGAGTGTGCTGACATATTCAAAGTACTAAAAGAAAATACATTTCCAACCAAGAATGTGATATCAACATAACTGTCTTTCAAATATAAAGGCAAGAGAAATACTTTTCCAGAAGAACAAAAGTGAGAGTCTTCATCACCACAGGACCTGTCTTACAAATGATAAACAAGTTCTTCAAGTTGAAAAGAAAGGATGCTAAGTGGTAATATGCAAACATATAAAAAAAATTATTGATAAAGGTAACTATATAAAAATAGAGAATACTAAAATACTGTAATGGCTGTGAGTTTCTTTCAATTTTTATATAAAAATTAAAATTCAGAAGTATTTAAAATAGATATAAATATTAAAATATGTTAATGAACTCACGATATAAAAACATGTTAAAGGTGATATCAATTACATGAAGTGATGAGGGGAAAAGAGTAGTTTTTTTATGCAACTGAGTTAAGGTTTGTGTAAATACATTACTTTATGTAAGATCCATGCTGATAACAAAGAAAATATATATAGGAGTCACACAAAAGAAAAAGATAAAGGATTAATGGCATATTAATGTAATACATAAACAAAACAAAAAGAAGAAAATGAGAGAAAAATAGACACAAACAATTATGAGAAAAAAAAACTAATAAAATGGGAAAAGTGACTTCTTCCCTATTGAAAACCAAATGCAAATAGACTAGGCTCTCTATCCAAAAGACTTAATGTAGCTGAATGGATTTCAAAAATCCAAACATATGCTGTCTTCACTCACTTTAGATTTAAGGACACTGGCTAAAAGTTTAGGAATAGAAAAAGATGTCCTATATAAATGGCAATCAAATGAAAGCAAGAATGACTCTGCTTGTGCAGGCAAAATAGACTTTAAACAAGACAAAGACATTATATTATATTATATTATATTATATTATATTATATTATATTAATTTTTATTATATTATTAAAATTATAATGGCCAGTTCAGCACAGAGATGTAAGAATTACAAATATATATAACAGGGCACCTAAACATATAAACAAATATTGACAGAACTTAAGGGAAAATACATAGTCCCACAATAACAGTAAGAGACTTCAATATTCCACCTTTAATAATATATACATAGAGAATAAATAAGAAAACATTAGATTTGAACAACACTACAGACATTATGGACCTAGTGGACTTGTATAGAACATTCACCCCAACAACAACAGAACATACATTCTTATCAAGCACATAGGAAACATTCTTCAGGATAGATCACATGTTAGATTACAAAACAAATCTTTACAAATATGAGACGATTGAATCATATGAAGTGTATTTTCTTACCATCCTAGAAGAAAACTTAAAATCATTAACAAGGAAAATGGAAAAAATTACAAATATGTAAAAAATAAACAACACACTTTCGAATAACCAGTGAATCAAAAAAGAAGCAAAAAGGAAAATCAGAAAACATCTTAAGACAAATGAAAATAAAAGCGCAACATACCAAAACCTATGGAATGCAGCAAAATTAGTAGTAAGAGGGAGATTTATAGCAATAAAGGACCATAGTTTAAAAGGAAGAAATATTTAAGAAAATAGCTTAACTATGCCTCAGAGAAAATGGAATCAGAGGGAAAAACAAAGCACAACATTAGCAAAAGAATAGAAATAATAATTATCAGAGAAGAAATACACAGAAAACAGAAAAACAGACATAAAAATGAAACAGAGTTGGTTATTTGTAAAGATAAGCAAAATGGGTAAATAGACAAAAAAATAAAATATTCATATAAATAAATGAATGAGACATTAAAATTAATGACATAAAAAAGATTGTAAGAGACTACTATAAACAATTATATTCCAAAATATTAAAATATGCTGGAAGAAACGAATATATTTCTGGAAACATACAACTAATCAAAACCGAAATCTAAAGACAGAAAATTGGAACATACTAACAATAGATAAGAAGACTGAATCAGTAATGAAAACTTCTCAACAGAAAAAAAAAAAAAAAAAAAAAAAAAAGCCCAAGACCAGATAGTTTCACTGATGAATTCTAACAAATATTTAAAGAATAATTAATGCCAACCCTTCTCAACTTCTTCCAAAAAATTGAAAAGGGAGGAACATTTCTAAATTTTATTTGGCCAGCATTATTCTGATACCAAAGATAGACAAAGATGCTACAAAAAAAGTACCTATGGGCCAACATTTCTAATGTACATAAATGGGAAAAAAACTCAACAAAATACTAGCAAACAGAATCAACATCATAGTAAAAGAATGATACACTATGACTGAGTGGAATTTATTCTTGGAATACAAGCTGGATTCAAAAAATGAAAATCAATAAATGTGACATACTACATTAACATAATGAATAAAAACCATATTATCATCTTAATGGGTGCAAAAAGAAAACATCTGAAAAAAATCCAATAATTTTTCACAATAAAACCTCTCAACAAAATAGGAATAGAAGGAAATTATGTTAATGAAATTGAGGCCATGTATGAAAAGGCCACAGTTAACAGCATACTCAGTGGTAAAAAGTTGAAAGAAACAGGAACAAAAAAAGATGACCACTGTTACCGCTATATTCAAGATGGTACTGAAAATTTTAATCAGAGCAATTAGGCAAGAAAAAAATAAATAAAAGCTTTGGCATTTGAAAGGAAAAAGTAAAACAATACCTGCTTATAGGTCATGTGATCTTGTTTGTAAAAGCCCTAAAGATCAAACAAAATCTGTCAGAAATACAAAATGAATTCAGTGAAGTTGCAAGATATAAAATTAACATAAAAAATCGGTTGTCATTCTATACACAAACAACAAATTATCCACAAAGGAAACTAAGAAAGCGATGCCATTTACAACAATATTAGAAAGAATACTTAGAATATTGGCCTGAAGTTTTCTTAACTTGCTGTGTCTCTTCCCAATTTTGGTATCTGGATGATGGTGACTTCATAAAATGAGTTAGGGAGGAGTCTAACCTTTCGGAATGGTTTCAGAGGGAATGGTACCAGCTAGTCTTTGTATTTCTGGTAGAATTCAGCTGTGAATCTGTCTGGTCTTGGGCTTATTTTGGCTGATAGGCTATTAATTACTGCCTTAATTTCAGAACTGTTATTAGTCTATTTAGGGATTCAGCTTCTTCCTACTTTAGTATGGGTAGGGTCTATGTGTCCAGGAATTTATCCATTTCTTCTAGATTTTCTAGTTTATTTGCGTAGAGGTGTTTATTGTATTCTCTGATTGTAGTTTGTATTTCTGTGGGGTCTGTGGTGATATCCCCTTTATCATTTTTATTGTGTCTATTTGAGTCTTCTCTCTCTTCTTCCTTATTAGGTTAGCTAGTGGTCTATACATTTTGTCAATTTTTTCAAAAATCAGCTCCTGGATTTGTTGAGTTTTTGGAGGGTTTTTCATGTGTCTATCTCCTTCAATTCTACTCTGATCTTAGTTATTTATTTTATTCTGCTAGCTTTCATATTAATTTGTTCTTGCCTCTCTAGCTCCTTTAATTGAGATTTTAGGGTGCTGATTTGAGATCTTCCTAGTTTTCTGATGTGGGCATTTAGTGCTATAAATTTCCCTTTTAACATTGATTTAGCTGTGTCCCAGAGATTCTGGTATGTTGTGTCTTTGTTCTCATTGGTTTCAAAACACTTATTTATTTCTGCCTTTATTTCATTATTTACCCAGGAGTCATTCAGGACTTCATTTTGAGTCCGTGTGTGTCTTTGCACATGAGTCTCTGAATACAGCACATTGATGGGTCTTGACTCATTATTTGATTTGCCAGTCTCTATCTTTTAATAGGGATATTTAGCACATTACATTTAAGGTGAGTATGGTTATGTGTAGATTTGATCCCATCATCATAATGCCATTTGCTTATTTTGCATACTAGTTGATAGAGTTTCTTCAGCGTCATTGGTCTTTATATATTGCTGTGTTTTTGCAGTAGCTGGTACTGGTTATTCTTCATGTTTAGTGCTTCTTCAGGCCAATATTCCTGAAGAACATCTATGTGAAAGTCCTCAATAAACTACAGGCAAACTGGATCCAGCACTAAAGTTAAAACAATTGCAAAAGAGCAGAAGAGTATTTTATTAGATAGTGAAATCAAGACATTGTGCAAGGAAATCTAAAAGGTACTTGGAAATTAATGGACAGTGAGGTATCGCATCATAGATTCCACTACAAAGCATAGCTACTCTTGAGTTTAAACTCAACGATAAATTAAACCTTATGGTCAAAGTTCCATTACCTATGAATGTGGTTCATGACTAATATGTAAAAATCACCTAAACTAAAATACCAGGGTCAGAGGAGAGGAGAACGACAGGCTTATTCCCCTTGTTGATGAGAGGGATACCCTTTTGTTTGTTAGTGTGTCTTATTTAGTAAATTTGAGATTTAAATCTTTGAGTTATCGCAATACAATAGTTCAAACACATTCATCAGCAACTAAAAATATTTTATTTTTGTTTTCAGTAGAAGACAGTAGTTACAATTAAAGCAAATCCATTTTGCTTTTTTTTGTTTGTTTGTTTTGTTTTGTTTTGTTTTTCAGGTACAAGTGACAAATATATTTCTCTTTATTAGTATTAAGGTTTTCTCCAATGTCTTTTATTAGTGGAGGCATTTTATTTGATACCACTGTTGCTCATGGTTTGAGCACTCCCTTCCCTTTCACCTCAAAGGGAACTCCTTTGTATGTAGCCACACACTCATCATTAGTGTGAAGATCAGGCTGGATCTGCTCCCAAATCTTTTTCTTAGGGTTCAGCTCCTTGTCAGGCATTCCTGGGAAAGCTGCAAAAGTAATTCTGTCTCCAGGAACAGACCCATTTGGAGGTGCCAAGATTTCAACTTTCTCTGGTGAACTAGCACACATGACCACTGCTTGAGACAATACTCCCCTCATCTTTACAGGTTTCAGATTACAACGTAAAACCACCATCCGATTTTGCATCTGTTCAAGAGGAACATGATTCACCAGGCCACTGACAACTGTTCTTGGGGCTACTTCTCCAACATCTACTTCTTCTACATACAAAGAATCTGCATCAGGGTGTTTTTTGGCAGTTGCAACTAACAAATATAAAAAGTACTTTTAATATAGCATCAGAAAGCATGGCATTATCTTAGGAGAACTGTAAAAGTTACTGATGAAATCTAGTTAGGTTACAGCTAAGTGCTATAGCATATGCATTATTTAGAATATCCATTTCCAACCTAAATGAAGACAGACGGGGAAAATGAGGAAGAATACAGCAATGTCTGTGCTTCCAAAGTAAAAAATTAAATTATGCAGGTGTTAAGACTACATGTAAATATCTTAATACTTTCTGACAATTTACCGTATGTATAACTTTTCATCTAGATTTATGAAATCAAATATCAGTGGCTTATTCATTTTAGATACAGCAATGTCAAGGGAAATATTTTACATTTGTTATACTTTCTTTTTTAATTCCTCCACTCTGTTCTCTTAATTTCTCTTTTCTTTTTGACTCCACTTTGTTTTCTCTTCTTCTAACCATATTCTCCTTACAATTTTTCTGCTTCAGAGGAGCAACTTCCCAGTTTCCACTACCTATAGCCATTCATCAACTCACTAGTCTATCACAACGCTCCTTTAATCATCTTGTCTTTTGTTCTACAATTCACCTGGATTTTGTAGAAATGGGTTTCAGACTGTATCAGATACAGAGGGAATTCTCTGGAACTGCAGCCCATTTTCAATTATCTGCATTTGTTTACACTTCTCATTTTATTCTTTCCCTCAAAATACTACAGTAACTCAATTAGTGACGATTGCTTAGTAGAGCAATTTATTAAAGTATCTTAGTACAAGATAATTTGAATGCAGATGATTATTTCTGCCATTGGAAACATTTGGCAGTAAGAATAATTTTCTGGAAAACGATGAACATTTTTGGAAGATACTAAGAGAGGCTATGGCAAAAAAATAAGATCAAAACATCCTCTCTCACTAAAAATAATGAATATTTTATCCTTTTTGATGATTCCATTGAATTTTTATCACTCTAACAGGTTACCAGTATTTAATTAATTATGAGAAATGTGGATAGTGCCTTAACTCAAAACTAGTAACTCCTTCAGAGATAAAGCAGGTCTAAGGCACCAAGCACATTGTTCTAACAACTGTGATGCTGTTCTATGAATCCTTAATCTTGTCTTCAGAACTTTTCAGATGCTGTTCACATCAAGCATGTATTACTTCATAAATGACACTATACTAAAACAAAAATATTATGATACTTGCAAGGATAACTAGGAGGAAAACTTCCTGAAAAGTTTAAGCCATGCATAAGTGAATAGCTGCTCATAAAGCATGTCTTCTATTTAAAAATCTTACAACTTTAGCAATTGGCTCTTATGTTATTCTAGTCATGCTAAAGGGATGACTCAGGAATTGTTAGAAAAAAAAAGTCATCCAGGGTGACAGTGGTTTCAGTAATTGATTTCTAGGATGAAATGAATCTAAAAACCGTGGTAAGGAAGCTTTAAAAACTAGGCACAGTGACTTTAAAAAGCCTAATGGGAATTAAACAATTGCTATTTGAGACTTTATTGCATACTTAGTTACGTGTGGCCCTAAAATTTATACATAGGGAAATGGCTTATTATATAAGGTTAAAGGGGAAAATAATAAAGCGGGGAACAATTAGGAACAATTAGACTAGACGCTTTTTCTAATAGCTAAAAATTCAAGCTGATAATTAAAGTATTACAAAGAAGTAAAGCTTGTGTTACATTATTTAGTAGAAGCTGATAAAGGATTCTGGATCCCTTGAGACAGTGAGAGAGAAATCTCAGTAGAAAATTTTGTTATACAGATCCAGAAAATGTTCTTTGTATTTAGGTTACATATCTCAAGACAGCACAAGATTCTAATTTGCTCATGCAGCCACAGCTTTGCTACTGGGTATTCTGTGCTAGTTATTTGGAATACAGATTGTTGTCATTGTAATTTATGAGGAACGGGTTGCATTGTCCTCAACTGAGCTTCAGGAATTTGCAGGCAGGACATTTTCTGGACATCAACCATTTGTCTCTTTATCTTCAAGGACTTGGTCTCTCTAAGGGAGGAAGCAGATTGCCAAAGATGCTCTGAAGTAGATGCTGAGCAGAAACTGACTTATTAAGATTTTCCAGGTTTCTCATCACTCCTGTAGCTCCATGTTCAGATAGACTCAGTACAATGCAATTATTTCAGTAAGGTTTAAATTTATAAACTATGAGGCAGATATGCAAAAAAATTAACATTACTTAAAAAAATTGCACTCAAGTTTTCTCTCAAGCTCCTCATTCACATAAACTAATTGACTTATACTATTTTACTCCCGTCTACCTAATCCAACCCAGTTATGTTTAACCGTATTCAGGTAGCATTATTTCAGACAGTATCCACATTAATGTTTAGTTACTTCCTGGAAGATAGTGTTTCAGAGTTTCCAATTCTTACCAAATTAATCTATAGGTTTAAGGCAATTTCTTATTTCACTCCTCACATTGGTGATTTGCATATTCTGTTTTATTTGTAATCAGTCTTGCTATATGCTTATTAATTGTATTGATTTTGTTTTGAAGATTCAACCTTTATTTTTTTTTCCAACTGTTACTTTAGGTTCAAGCGGTCCATGAGCAGGTTTGTTACATGGGTAAATTGCATGTTGAGGGCGTTTGATGTACAGATAATTTTTTCACTCAGGTAATTAACGTAATACATGATAGGGAGTTTTTCAATCCTCACCTTTCTCCCACACTGTACCCTAAATTAGAACCCCAAATCTACTGTTCCTTTCTTTGTGTCTATGTATACTCAGTCTTTCGCTCCCACTTATAAGTGAGAACATACTGTATTTGGCTTTCTGTTTCTGCATTTCTTCACTTAGGATAATGGTCTCCAGCTCTGTTCATGTTGCTGCGAAGGACATGATTTCATTCTCTTTATGCCTGCATGATATTCTATGGTACATATGTACCATATTTTCCTCATCCATTCCAAAATTCATGGGCATCTATGGTGATTCCATGTCTTTGCTATTGTGAATAGCACTGCCTTTACAGTAGAATAATTTATATTCCTTTGATATAAACTCAGTAATAGGATTGCTGGGTTGAATGGTAGTTCTATTTCAAGTGCTTTGAGAAGTCTCCAGACTGCTTTCCACAGTGGCTGAACTAGTTTACTCCCCATAAGCAGTATACAAGCATTTCCTTTTCTCTGTAAACTTGCCAGGATCTGCTAATTTTTGACTATTTATTAATAGCCATTCTGACTGTTGTGAGATGATATCATATTGTGGTTTTATTTGCATTTCTCTAACGATCAGTGATATTGAGACTTTTTTAAATATGCTTGTTGACCGCATGCATGTCTTCTTTCAAAAACTGTTTGATTATGAACTCTGTCCATTTTTTAATGGTGGTGTTCATTTTTCTCCTGTAAATTTGTTGAAGTTCCATATAGTTTCTGGATATTAGACCTTTGTCGGATGCTTAGTATGTATTTTCTTCCATTGTGTAAATGGTCTGTTTACTCTGCTGAGTTTTTTTTGCTGTACAGAAGCTATTTAATTAGGTTTAAATTGTCAGTTTTTTTTTTTTTATTGACATTGCTTTTGGAGGCTTTGTCATGACGTCTATGCCAGGATCAACGTTCAGAATGGTATTTACTGCGTTTTCTTCCAGAGTATTTATAGTTTTAGATTTTACATTTAAATCTTTAATCCATTTCGAGCTGATGTTTGTATATGGTGAAAAGTAGGGCTCGGTTTCAATCTTCTGCATATGGCTAGCCAATTATCTCAGCAGCATTTATTCAATAGTGAGCCCTTTTCCCATTGCTGATTATTGTTGGCTTTGTCAGAGATCCGATGGCTGTAGGTGTGCAGCTTTATTTCTGGGCTCTCTACCCTGTTCCACTGGTCTAGGTGTCTGTCTTTATTATGTACTAATACCATGGTGTACTAGTTAGTTACTATTGCCCTGTAGTATACTTTGAAGCTGGGTAGTGCTTTATGTTTTATTCTGTCTTTCTCTTCAGTTCAGTTTCTTTGATTTTTGCTTTTATGTTTATTATGTCCTACCTTTTTCTTACTTTCAGTTTATTTTTTTCTTCTTTTACAACTTTCTTGAAACAGAAATTTATGGTTTTTTATTTCAAAACTTTTAATTATTTATAACATAAGCGTCAGTGCTACAAATTCCTCAGTACTACTTTAGTTGTGTTCAGTAAAATTTGATATGGCTTTCATTCTTATTCAATTTTATGTATTTTTGTTTATTTTGAGACTTATTTGATATCTACATTATTTAGAAGTATGCTCTTTAATTTCCACATATTTAGAAATTTTCCAATAGTCTTTTGGTTATTGTTAGTTTTATTCCATTATGTCCACAGAAAACAGAAAAGGACAAGTTAAATTTCTTGAAGTCCATTTTGTAGCCCAGAACATTGTCTATCTTCCATGATCAATTGGGAAAAAAGTATATTCACTTTTTCAATATATATCAATTAGTTCCTATTATTTTGTATCATCTATATCATTGCTAGATTTGTGTCTAGTAGTTCTATCAGCTGCTGAGAGGGGGATGTTAAAATCTCCAACCGTAATTGTATATTTTCTTTCTTCTTTCAGTTGTATCTCTTTTTTTGTTTGTTTGTTTTATATATGTTGACCTTCTGTTGTTTGATGTGTTGAGGGTTGAAAACGTTTTTGATAGCTGCTTTGAAATCCTGGTCAGATAATTCCAATATCGAATTCATTTCAGTGTTGATATCAGTTGATCATGTTTTCTCATTAAGGTTTATATTTTCTTGGTTCTTCTTATGACAGGTGATTTTTCAATCTTATCCTGGATATTTTGTCTATTATGTTAGAAGGCTCTGAGTCCTATTTAAGTCTTTTATTTTAACACCAATTCACTCTGTTTAGGTTTAGCATGTAGATCCTGGCTTACTTTGTAGATTGCCATTTCAATGGCAGTTTAATTTTCAGAGCCTTTCTTGAAGTGTTGTTTTGGTCTGCTTGTTTTTTCTGGCCCATGATAACACTTCC